GTATAATCCTTTTATTCACAACATCTGCTCTGATTGGGATAGAGAAATAAATTTCGTGCCTTTGCATATATGGGAATGCGTTTCTGTTGACATTAATTTTTACCTATGAGGCATTGTATATACATAGTACTCTACTGTATTGTACAGTGGTCCCTCGGTTAACGAACGATTCGGTTTACAAAATTTCGGTTAACGAATTACTTTCTATAAGAATCTTCAATTTGGTTAACGAACAAAAATTCAATTACCCTACGAACTTCACATTTTATTGTGAGCATCAGCTGATCAGCTGATGGGCTAGTCTGCCAATTCAGTAATCTGTTCTATGTTTACATTCGTTTCCAGTGGAGTAAATATTAATAAAGTTGTGCTCTTTTATATTTTTGCATTTTTTATATTAAAATTATTAGTCATTTTAACATTTATTCAACATATTGATAATATATGCAGTACAGGGAACTAATTTTTGTGCGCCCATCAGACGCTTGACTCAGCCACAAGGCGTCAGTTAGGCTCTGTTGACAGTAGAGTGAGCATCTATTTTGTTAGTGTCTTGAATATTTTGACTGGGTGAGTCAAGTGGCTGATTGGCACACCAAAAACTAATTTCCTGTACTGCAATTATGTTAAATAAGTGTTAAAATGACTAAAGTTTTAATATAAAACTTGGAAAATTATTGAATAGTACAACCTTCTTGATATTTACTCAAATGGGAATGAATTTAAGCCCTAGAACCAATTACTGTATTGGCAGACTAATATTCCAGCTGGTGAGCAAGCGAAAACATGTTGACATGATTTCGTAAAAATTTCATTAACCGAGTTTTTGTTCGTTAACCGAATTGAAGATTCTTATGGAAGGTAATTCGTTAACCGAAATTTTGTTAACTGAGGCGTTCGTTAACCGAGGGATCACTGTATATACTGTACACCAGCAGACACTGTTCACTTAGCTGACTGTAATACGGTGATATCCCCGTTAGCCTGACCAATTGGTGCAGAGCACTTCCAGGAATGAGAGATTTCCGGGTAACGAGACGACTCTCAAAGCCGGGAAAAAATCCCTCATCCTTGGAATTTTCCGGGTAATGGAAAAATGTTCTCTGAATTTCTAGAAATGGCCCATTACAGCATCTCTTGAACCCGGAAAAATATCCCCCATCCCCGGAATTTTCTGGGCAACGGAAAAGTTTTCTCGGAATTTCCAGAAAATGCCACTTACATCATCTCTCATAATCCGGAAAAAAATACCCCCATATCGGGGTATCGGGAAAATTTTCTCTGAATTTTCCGGAAAATGTGCCCCTCGGAAAATCGTTCCCAAAGCCGGAATTTTGGAAAATTTTGGCTTTGGGAATGATTTTCCGAGAAAATTTCAATTCCGGCTATCGGAGAGTTCAAGGTTTAGGGATTCCAGTTATCGGTGATATTACTGTACAGTCGACCCCCTTTAATTCGGACTAATAGGGGGGGAAGGGTGTCCGTTTTAGCCGATTGTCCAAATTAACCGATTTAGGGGTTAATATTGCATTATACAGCTAGACCCTGACTTACGACTACGTGGACTTACGACCGTCGGGACTTACGACCGCCGCAGATTTTTTATTATTATTATTATTATTATTATTTTTTTTTTTTTTCTTTCTTTCCCAAATGACACACGCATTTTCTATACCGAAACGTTTCCAGTTAATGTAGTCTCCATGTATAATTAGAAAATTATGGGGGCCCCATGTGCATTTAGCTGACTACATTAAAGGTAAGTGCTCAGTCACACTGTATCCATTCCTTATTATTTATTACTTTCACTGTACTGTATCCATTCCTCATTATTCATTACTTTTACTGTACTGTATTTCATTGTAGATTTTTTATTAAAAAAAAAAAAAAAAAATTTTTTTAATCTATGTCGGACTTACGACCTGGATTTGGGTCCCTAACCCCATCGTAAGTCGGGGTCTAGCTGTATTTCAAAGTCATTGTTTTCGTCGATTTTATCCCACTTTCCACTGTAATACTGTACGTACGTCATTTCAGCAAAAATATTACATTTCCGTGAATGCATTATATCAAGCACAGTATGAATAGAATACCATTGTAATATAACAGTATTTTAACCAAAACTATTAAAAAACTAGTAACTTCTCGTGAACATCAGAAGGTTAGGTAAAATCTTTTGTTTTCGTCATGTATTTTATCCTATTTTACATTAAAATACATCACGTTTCAGCAAAACTACTATTTATTTCCGAGAATATATTCATTCAGGCACAGTTAAGGTAAAATATACATGTGATGTAACAGTTTTTTAACTGAAAACGATTCGAAAAACACGTGTACCGTCTAGCTGATACAAGCAACAGCTGGTGGTGTGTCATGCGTCGTTGTAAACAATAGGAGGTTGAAGTAGATTACCGGGTATTATATTAAGTGTGAAATATCGAAAAGGTTTTTATTACCAGTATTTTTTTGTAGATCAATGAGAACTGTGATACCGTATATGATATGATAAGATAGCCTGTGCTAAGAACTTCAACATAGACTACTGAAAACACGTTGTAAGGTAATTTAGCCTATTGTAAGTTGGTGAGATTCATTTGCTGAAGGAACTGCACAACTTTTCATTACTAATTGGTACATATTTTACGTTTCCATTGTTTACTGGCAGTAAATGGTAAATATTTTTTATGTCTGAAGCTAAAAGTTGCATCCCCCCCCCCACACTAGTGGTGGAGATGTTACATTTAACCAAAAAGACGCTGGTGTTTTATCCCAGCAGTGGGTGGACCAGCATTTTAGCTTAAAGTCCGCATAGGTAATATTCCTACAAAAAAAAAAGAAAAAAAGTTCAGATTTTGTCCGAATTATCCGAAATCCGGATTAAAGGGGTCCGAATTAACGAGGGTCGACTGTACTTAATTATAGTCACGTCTTAACGCTTGCGAAGGAGGTTGGGTGGGAGATTATTGGGTCATGTTACTGACCTGACCTGATGCAATATCAGGTCACCCATTGTAGGGGTGGGAGATAAGTGGGCTCATGACCTGAAAATGTCTTGAATAAAGATGAAAGGTAAGGTGCTATAGTGTTTCCCACTTACTGAATGCACAGTAAAGTATACATAACTGTATTCACTTTTTACCTTCTTAACACTGCTTTAACACTGTATTCTTGGCTGATTTTGTTTTGGTACAATAATGTACAGTACAACATTGCACAACACAAAATGTACGTAAAAACATCAGCTAGCGAGGGAACAACGAACATCCTTCTACAATGGCAGCAGAATATGAGCAAAGCGATCAAAGCATCTAGGCCACCCATGCTCCTGGGACGTATGGATGCATTGGAGCATGATGCAATCTCATGGAACTTCTGGAAATTTTGTTCCCAGGCCCAGAAAGGAGAGGTTTGGAGAGATTTTCTCGGAAACTTCTCCAAATTTTTTTCTGGAAAATGCTCCTGATTTTCATCCTAGGAAACTTGTTAGCACACCTGGAATGGAGAAAGTTTTCCCAAAATTTTTTCAGCCAATTTCAATTCAGGCTATTTGGGAGTTCTGGGGATTGGGGATTCTGGCTAATGGTGAGGTTACTGTAGTCATGTTGAGGCTTCTTACATTGTTTCAAACTGCTGGCAGAGTGCTGGAGACATCAGTCACCCAATTTTTGTGGCGATGTCAAGGTTATGGCCACTCCAAACTCCTACTATTGACATAGTGGGAGTGAGGAGGTGTTTGATCCTGATGATCCAGAGTATGAGAAAAGCGCTTTTGGGGAGGATGAAGATATTATAGTGAGTCAATCTTTATGTGGCAGGAGACATATAAGTCTTGGTTCACACACAACCTCCCCTGCTGGCTTTCATTGTCTCTCCTGCTGATAGAGCTGTGGCAGGCCCTTTGTGGGTGACACCACATGAAAGGAGGTGTAGAATTAAGGACAAAAGAAACTGAAGGTGAAAGAAAGCATGGTCGATGTGAGACAAGAGCACGGGAGAGGGGGTCGTAGTTGCCTGCCACCACACTGCCACCCATGTGAGGCCTCCCATGACAACCTGCAGCCACTTCCCCAAATCTCTTTCACCCATCAATGGAAAGAAATTTGCCCAGAAATGATGCCATGTTTGTTTACACATTCAATTACTGTACAGGCAAAAAAGTGTCGTGATACAAGGTATCAGTCTGAGGGTTGTGGCGTTGCCTTGTGCCTGCTTTGCCAGATACTGTACCACCAGTTGCAGAAGTAAACTAAAATGCACTGAACATGCTTTACATGATGTAAATATTCATATAAATGTTTATAATAAGTTATACAGTATTACAAAGAAACTAATATTTTTAAGATAAACAATCTTCACTCTTGCCTCACTTGGCACATATATGATCTTGAGTCCACATGGCTTGCAGCCAAATCTTTATGTAAACAATATCTGTTGAGTGTTGTTCAATGATAACTACTATAATATAATAATCCAAAGTATTATGAGTAATAAATAAGTGTAATCTGTAAGGACATCTACAAAATATGAGGCAATTGTGGCAAGAAGGTGTGTTGGTGGGGGTTTAACTGTTAATGTGGCGGCTGACCAGCTGTGAGCAGCTGCCCCCGGGAATCCCCACCAAAAATGATGTCACCAAGTTTGGGCCATAAAAAAAACATAAGATTTTAAGTTTTTCATTATTTACTCACCCAAACCCTCTGTTTAAGCAATTAAAAAATTCAATTTTTTAGTAACCTTGGGGGTCACTCAGGCTTTCCTGGGTATAATCATGAAGAGGTTAATTATCTTTTAAATTAGTTCTCTTGGGTTCACATCAAGGGCTTAATGGGTATGTTATACTTGAACTGCCTCGCTCAAGGTTTGACAATAAAATAACATTTTAGAATTAACCCTTTAATTCTTAATTAAAAGAAATAAATTTAAGTAAATGTAACTTTAATTTTCATGAGCCAATAGAACAAAGTATGTTTTACAGTCCTTTCTAAATTGTATTTCAGATGCCCAAAAAATCGCAGTTTTCTCTCAAGCGCAAGAAATCTAAATCTGACTTAGAGTTTGATGACTTGCTGTGTCCTCTGGATGAAAAACCCCCAGTTGGTGCAATGCAAGACAAGAAAAGGGAGGTGAGGACAGGGGAAGTGGAGGAGATAAATTCTCTGATGATTGAGGAGGAGGTGAAGAAAAAATTAGGCACACAAGTGGCAGAGGAGGTAAGAGGAATATGGTGGTAAGATTTTAAATGTGTTTATGATGAAGGTTCTGAAAAGATGTTGGTTGAATTAAAAAGTGATGGACTGATGATTTGTGTGATAATTGGGAAAATGATTGAGGTGAGGAGGTTTTAGGTAAAAGGCTATTACTGAGAAAATTTAAAAGTTATCTTAAACTTAGTGACGAAGATAAGGGAAAGTTAGTATTACATGTGTGAGAAATTAGATAATACAGTGAAAGATTAAGTGAGAGTTAAAACCATTAGGAATCTTCTGTCCATAAGGAAGAACTCACCTCATTTATTAGTCTCGGCATAATCAGCCTTTTATTGGCTGATGAACGTCTTAAATATTTCTCCAGAACTAATTGAATTTAAGGAAGTAAAGGTTTTTTGTTTTATCATGTTTAATGTTGATTTTATGGCATTTACCTGATTATAAATGATTACATTTGAATAATGAGTAGCAACAAATCTGTTGACCAATTTTAACCCTTAAAAGGCCTAGAACATATCCTATGATTGTTGTTGTTTTTTCACCACTATTTATAAGCTGAATCTTCTTTCAACAATTTCATATTTAGTTAATAAATATGAGAAATAATAATTTCTTGGAGGAATCACAAGTTGAACTCCCAGTTCTCCCAGTACATGTTTTCCTGGCTTTGGAGCGAGCCGCCAGCATCGTCATAGTAATCAGACAACAACACAGCCACGAGCACACCTAAGTAATGGTGTGAAAAATCTAAACATCATATGAAGTCCGCTGCTCTTTAATGCATTTCCTCTCAAACTTCATATTATGATGTCTGCCGCCCATTAAGAGTTAAGTTACTCCAACCAAAATTCTGACATATAATTTTACAGGCTTATAGGATGAAAGTCATCGTCAAACAAAAAATCCATCACCACCATGGTGGTAAATAACAAAGAACTTACCAAATTTTGTCCTCAAATTTTTAAAGGCATCTGACGACTGTTTTTAAAATGTTACTCAAGGCTATAAACTTGTATCAAATTTATACAGTATGTAGTATACTTTGTACAGTTTTCAAACAGTCTAGAAAGTGGTGTAGACTACAGGATCTAGCAGCTTATTCCATTCTTCTACAGATATATTTATGAGAGATAACTTTTTTTGTGTTGGTATAGAAATGCTCACCTTATAATTTAAAACATTTGTTCTGGTGTTTTGATAAAGATTTAAGTAAGAAATTTGTTTTCCTCTATATATTCTTCCCTATTAAGATTTTCTTAGTTCAGTCATGTCAGCTTTCACTTCATTTGGTTTCTGTGATATATTTTTCAAACTAGGGAAGAGTTTAGTTGTACTGTACAAGATTGTACTGTACTAGACTGTTGATATTCCTTTGAAGAAAGGGTGACTACTGTATACTATATCTGGAATGCATATTCTAATTGAGAGTCAACAAATGAATAGTACAGTCTACACATTCTTTCTTTTGTTTTGAACTTACTGTAAAATATCTCACTAGAATTCCTAAAACTTTATTTTCTGTATTCTTTGCTTCTGTGCATTTTTTTCCTATTCCTATGAGCTCCCAATTTAAATTTTAATGAATTTTATCAGAAGCTTCCTCAAAATCTAGATACAGTACAGAACATTTAGTGATTTCTTTTGGCAATATATTTTGATATTGTTTTTAAGGTCACCAGTTTGGTTAATGGGTCAAACTGCTGATTGCATATCTCCCAAATTTTATGCTATATGATATTATCTATAACAGATATTAAAATATTTGAGCTATAATTATCTACATCTTGCCCATTCCTCTTTCTGATCACCAACCAGGGTGACATTAGATTATTTTCATATGTGTTGACACCTAGTAAGTGCTAACATTATAAATTAGAAAGTTTGTCAGAGAAGAGAAGTTGCCAGCTCTAAATTTATTTGATTTAAAACCCAGTGGCAGTATTGTAACCAATGAGGTTAATCCGAAGTTTGTTATTGCGTAAAGCTCGACTATATGATATTATTGGGAAAAGTTTATCTAGTAATCAAACCTACCCTTATTCTTAGGAGGTAAGGTAACCTTTCCCCACCTTCTCGCAGTGTGCACCATTAGTACACTTTGTGTCTGTTCAAATGGAACCAACGGGAAGGGTGCTACTTAACATCCAGCAGTCTGTTTTTGTTTTTCTGATCTGTCTCTTTCAACTATTTATTTTGATTGGTGTTTTTTAGTGCTGTCTGGGGTTTCCCAGACTGTTTGTTAGCATTTCCTTTTTTCTTTTGTTTGGTTTCTTTTGTGCTTCCATAATGTCAAACAAAAGGGAATGCCCTGGATGCAGGAAGACAGTGACCAAGACAGCTCAGGCTCTAAGGAACTGGTATTGCAGTGCCTGGTACTACACTGCTTGTGGCGACCTTGATGAGGAAGATTACAACTTCATGACCAAGAGAAGACCTGGCTTCAGATGGTTTTGTGCAGGTTGTGAAGACAAAGTGAATGACATCCTGAGCACAGTCAAATCAAATCTTAAATAGTTAAGGGCGTATCCTGCATAAAACGATTTTTCTTTAATGCAGAAAAAGTACAAGTCTGGCCTTATGTCATCTCCATGCTTTGTGAAAGTTTGGTTGTCATATGGCAATTTTTTCCCAATCAAAATAATATATTTTTATAACCCAATATTGAGGCACCCCCCTCCCCTCCTGCAAAAATCTCCATTTGTTAATTGCTATATTTTTATCATTAGTATGTATCTATTATGCTATTCTGTGTTGGTCCTTTTATATATATATATATATATATACAGTAGTACCCTGATTTACGCAGTCAATTGAACCCATGGGGTACCGCGGAAAGTGAAAACCGCGTAAAGTGAACAACAGAACATATGGGATTAATTCCAATAGAGACCGGGCCGACCCCCAAACTCCACATTTTCAGACACAATACCTACGTTGTAGTAAAAATTACATCTTAATTTTATGATAGTATGCACACACAATTAATAATTAAGAGAAATATCAACAATATTAGGTTTTTTAACACTTACATTAGTAGAAAAGATGGCTGGGCACACGGGGATGGGGGGTTGGTTCCGAGGCAGAGGGCAGATTATTGGCCCTCACCTATATCACTTGTATCAATTGTATCACTATCCACCACATAGGCTTGCAGGGCCTCTTTGTCAAACCCCTCAAAGTCCATATAAGTCCATATTCTCACTATCACTATCACTGACTTGGGCCGGCTGTGGTGGGTGGCGGGTGAAGAACTCGGTAATGTTTTGATGACTGGGTGACCTTGTGCGCATCCTGCCCGTGCCGCTTCCCGCGTATATGAGTATATGCACTGCATAAAGTGAAAAGCCGGTTTTGGCGAGGTACCGCGTAAATGCGAAATTGCGGAAAGTGAAACCGCGTAAAGCGGGGTAATACTGTGTGTGTATATATATATATATATATATATATATATATATATATATATATATATATATATATATATATATATATATATATATATATATATATACATATACATACATATATACATACATACATACATACATACATATATATATATATATATATATATATATATATATATATATATATATATATATATATATATATATATATATATATATATATATATATATATATATATATATATATATATATATATATATATATATATATATATATATTAGTTCTGGAACTAGTAAGTGGCTGGGCTGAAGTAAACACTTTGCTGGTTTTTCTTTATTGTAGAAAAATTTAGTTTCACAGGTACTGAGTTCGGTTGAGATTATATTGTACCTTCTCTACTAGAGGAAGTGTCTTGAGTGCACTTATATATGAGAACAGTTTAGTGAGATGTTCACTGGGTAACAAGTGATATAAGTCTGCCTGCTCCATCCTCTCGCTCAGAGCGTGAGAGTCAAGGGGGAGTGGGCCAGGTATTTGCAAAATCAGCTTGACCTGGCTCAACCTCTGATGAATTTATAGACCTCATCATGTATGACATGAACAACTACTGAGTCATTGTTGAATAACTTAGTGAATAATTTGGTATTATACATTTAAGTTTTATACATTTGGGTGAATCTTTATATAATACAAATGGTGCTGTTACAATTCTTCCTTTTTTTTCTTTTTTTTTTTAATACGTAAAATATAACTATCTAGACTGAATGGCAACATCTCCCCGGCTTTGCTGGTTGGCAGTGAGGAGAAGCAGATCAGTGTCTTTTTGACTGTCAGTGGGAGTTGACCTGCGCTCCTCTGCTCTTGAGTCCCTTGCCTATCTCTGGCTATTTTTCCTATTGCTTTGTTGTACAAGCAAGTGTTCTGAGAAGATGTCTTTTCGACGGGAGTTGATGAGGCACGAACGGAAACATAAAGAAAGACAAAGAGTGCTGTAGAAAGACCAGGCATCACCACCCTCACCTCTGCAGCACACTAGTCCATGATGGTGCTACCTCGGTGCCACGTGTGACACAGGTGCCAATTCAATAAATTGTATACCCTAACTACTGCAGAAAATTTTAATAAAACAATAAAGCTTATGTTTATATCCTTAGAATAACTGTATTTGCAATAACATTGTCAAACTGACAAGTATACGTACTAGAACCACACTCAGAGAAAATGGGCTGTCTCTCAAAACTAAAGTTGTCACCATTTGAAAGTGCACTACTCCATTATTTTTCAACCAATATTGAAAATGAAGATAGCTTTATAAAGAGGAATAAAATGCATTTTTTTTTGTATTGGCAAAATTTGTGATACCTTGATTAAGTATGGAGTGAGAATTTTTCATTTTCAAATTTCCCAATATTTTTTGCCCCTATTTAGTGCTTGTTTGCCACTACAACGAAAACACCAAGGTCAAATGTTGGTAATATAAAATGTAGGTGTGGGTTTGGTCATTACAGGGACCAGTTTTCAAACATATATGATAGAAAATAAGGACAAAGTGCAATTATAGAATGGTAAACTTTTTCGTAAAATTTCTTACTATTATT